TTGACACAGTTAGGTCAGCACCCCATAATGGCTTAACACGAGTAGGTCAGCACCCCAGAATGGCTTGACACTGGTAGGTCAACACCCCAGAAAGGCTTGACATGGGTAGGTCGGCACCCTAGAATGGCCGGACCGGGTAGGTCGGGCACCCCATAATTGCCTGACAGTATGTATGCTATGTGATTGTATGGTATGTGGTATGATGGGGGACTCACTAAGCTTCGTGCTTACGGTTTACAGTTTTGGTTTCAGGTACTCGTTTTCAGAGGAAAGGAGCCGGCTGGATCACAGCGCATCACACTATGTTTTTCGCACATGAGATCTTTGGGATTACACTCTGATATGGTTTTATGATAAAATGCTTTGATTATTGACACTTTGGTTTTGACGATATGAATATGAATATTTTATTACTGATGGTTCTATATTATAACTTAATCAAAACAAAATTTTTGCCCTTGAATTTTGGGATGTTACAAGTTGGTATCAGAGCCTTGGTTTGAGGGATTCGGACATACTCTCGGGTGTGTCTGAACTCAAACTAAGGGCTTGGTATGAAAATTTTCAAAACTAAAACCATTTTATATAAAGGAGTTTGAAAAGAATCTGAAAAGAGAAAAGAACTTTGATAAGAACAAAGTGTGTGTTGCGTGCAATCAGCCGAGCTCAAGTAAGTTTTCCCCAAGATACCTATAAATTTTATGTTATGGTATGATATGATATGATTATGAGAATTTCATGCTAGATTAGGGCTAAGGATCTAGGAGGATTCCTTATATGCCTATTGTATGTGCTTGTAGACTTGCATGCTAGTACTGATCAGTCAGTAATAGGATAGCCTGTTTAGGTTATGCCTGACTGTATGAGCCTTTGAATTGCATGTACAGATTCCTGATTAGAGGATAGAATGATTTGATTGGAATATGATGGTTAGATTTTCCATTGTTTGAATGCTGCTTGCTTTGTGCTTTGTGGGACTCTTAGTAATATGAGATCACTATTAAGTGAATATGCTAAGTCACATGGGACACAGGCCGGATAATCTCAGAGTGAGAGACTTGACTCTATTGCGCAGCTCTTGTCTGAGTCCAACCGTTCTAGGGATGGATCTTTTACTCGAAGGATTATCTGATCTCTGTTGCATGTGGCTATATTCATGAGGTAGCTAGTTGACATTACTGGGAATCTTTCAGCAGTTGAGGACTGGGTGAGTTCGGGAACCTAGGAAAGCCTAGGATATGTTTCAGTGGGTTAGTAGTGAGGCTCAGTGAGACTTGGGTGTGCCAGTTTGGGGAAGTGACTTGGAGGATTCGGGAGGATTGCTGAGGAAAGTATGGATAGGTGTGGAAGGTAGTATTGGGCCTGTACTACTGAAATCACAGGATCCATACTCGAATCAGTGAGAGTCTTGGAGAATCTAAGAAGCTTCAGGGAAGAGTTTGTGACGCAGTTTGGGGACAGAGGATGTTCCAGTTGTTGCAGCTTAGCCATTGGCAAGTGAGTTAGTGAGCGTGGCAGGGTGTCAGACCCTGAAGGATATGATTTCCAAGAAGTTACAGATGCGAGATCGATTTGGAGCACCCTGGAAAGAGAGGATTGTGCTAGGTGGGTATAGTATAGGGTCCCGGGAAGAGACCCATGACTTCTGATCGTCGGGTGAAGGGCCAGTAGGGCCAGAGTCAGTGCAACACGTACAGGAAAGTGCACAAGGGAGTTTGTCGCTCCAAGGGTTTAGGCTACTACAGGGTAGCGGGGTTGGTCATGTCAGCTGGAGGTAACTAGGATTCCTCCAGATCTTGCGGGTATTTCATCTTTTACTGCTACTAGATGGATGTTGGGGAACGTATCGCGTTGGAGTTATGAGTAAGTTTGGATAGGTCAGATCTCGGGTCGGTTTTCTACTAGTGTTTGGTTATCAAGGATCGTATATGCCATCCTGCACGCCGAAAGGTCCTTGATGAACCCACAGAGGGACGCATCTTGCGGAGTGGGTTCCGCGAGTACCGTTATCATTTCGGATCTTTGTCGGGATCTATGCAGGAGTATTATTTAGAGGATACTCGGTCAAGGTTGGAGTGATAGTTCTCCAGTGAAGTCAGCGCTCAGGGGTTCTATCATTGTTCAGGTATGGTCGGTAATTGTCTATGGATGAACTTTGGAGTTCAAGGCACTACCGTTACTAGGACAGAGCCGGTGACATGAAAAGGGTAGTGTTAGTCACGGGTGTTAGATCCATAAGTGGCTGGTCATCGCATGATCAAGAGAATTGTATTTTCGCATGGTCTGTGTTCGGTTAGAGTTCAGTGGTACTACAAGATTGGAAGTGGGAACGAGGATTCGTCAACCAGAGTGAGGATTGAGACCTTCAATTGACAGCATGGGAGATGGATTGAGGTGTCAGACTGGACCAGATCTCAAGGGTACTCGTCAGTATTTCAGAGAATGGGTGATCTTAAGGTCTGACTGGTAATTGATTGTTAGCATTGGGATACTAGAAAGTAAGAAGGATTGGGAATCCTTTAATTCTCGCGTGCCGCGAAGACTTAGTCGGATCTAAGTGGGGGAGAGACTTTTATTAAGTTCTCCAAATGTGAGTTCTGGTTGCGCGAGGTGCAATCTCTTGGGCACCTTGTCAACCAGAAGGGTATTCCGATCGATCCGGACAAGATAGAGGTCATGATGCAGTTGGGGATTCCGAGGTCTCTAGCTGAGATTCGGAGTTTCCTGTGTCTAGCGGGTTATTACCGGAGATTTATACGGGACGTCTCCGAGATTGCAGTTCCTTTGAACCGATTGACAAAGAAGTCGATGGCCTTTTCGTTGAGGGCCTGAGCAGCAGGCAACCTTCGAGACTCTTAGACATCAGATTTTGGGAACCAGAGTAGAGCTCCGGTTAGAACTCAAGTTCAGTGGTGTGTTACGTCGGGTGCGTGTTCGACCCGGTTGGGAAAGTGTTGTGAGACTACGGGGGTAGCCGTAGCATTCACTAGCAGTCAGATAGCATGGAAAGTGTTGTAAGACTACGGGGGTAGCCGTAGCATTCACTAGCAGCCAGATAGTATGGAAAGTGTTGTAAGACTACGGGGGTAGCCGTAGCATTCACTAGCAGTCAGATAGTATGGAAAGTGTTGTAAGACTACGGGGGTAGCCGTAGTATTCACTAGCAGTAAGATAGTATGGAAAGTGTTGTAAGACTATGGGGGTAGCCGTAGCATTCACTAGCAGTGATAGTATGGAAAGTGTTGTAAGACTAGGTAGCCGTAGCATTCAATAATAGTCAGATAGTATGGAAAGTGTTGTAAGACTACGGGGGTAGCTGTAGCATTCACTAGCAGTTAGTTAGTATGGAAAGTGTTGTAAGACTGCGGGGGTAGCCATAGCATTCACTAGTGATCAGATAGTGTTAGTGTGTTGTAAGTCTGCAGGTGTAGCCGTAGCATTCACAAGGTTAGCGGTTAGCGGTTAGTGCTTGAGTGATGTAAGTCTATGAGTGTAGCTGCAGTCTTCACTTGGATGGTAGATAGCATGAGCGCGTTGTTAGGACGGGGAATGAACAGTAGTACGCACAAGTTCGGGTGCAACATTGAGGATAAGGAAATGCACGGATTGGATTTCGGATTTACCCAAAAGGATTAGATCAGATTGAACCAGTGATACGATTGTAGGAGTGCCACTACAGTTATGGGATCAGGGAGGCAATGGACTGCTTAAGGTCGTTTGTGATATAAGGCTACCATTGGTGAGGTAGCAATCACTTTGAGTCCTGGATTTGAGTATGTCAGGATTTGACACATGGACCCGATCAGTTAGATCAGCAGGTTATTAGAGCCACAGTGACATGATAACTAGTGGCAACTAGTCCAGAGAAGGTTTCGTTCAGAAGTCGTGTGAGGCGACTAAGTGGGAGTCCATTGGCTCCGCAGCCGGGCAGGAACTCGACATTTCAGATGATTGGCGAACAAATAGAGACCAGGGAGGTCTCGTTAGATTTTAGAAAGAAACTATGTAGCAGCATACTGCTTCAGACAGTTCAATGTTCGGGCAGTTTCAATGTTTGGGCAGTATTAGCATTTGTGTTTCAGGTTGCAAGTACGGACGGAATAGCTGGTTGATCTGGGAAGTGACAACTCACTCACATCGGGATCAGCTGAGCCTTGGCCAAGTATAAGTGATCTGCAGGGATAATTGGGTCTGTGAACCTGTTTTATAGTGAGAACCTAAAGCTATCAGAAGTTGAGTAGCCTGTTGAGGGATGAACGGACTGGATTCAATGATAATGATTTAGTATGAGTGGTATGTCGGGGAATCAGACCATCTCGAGATAGTAGATTCAGACGAAGTAGATGTGATCCTGTTGCATGCAATTCGTTCATATGAGGATATTAGGGCTTTGCGAAGATTGGTCACAGCTACCCTGGGAAGGCTAGGGTGTGCCCAAGACGGTGATCATGTTACTAGAAGTGGTTTGGCATATAAGAAATAGTAAGGAGTGATTTCGAGGATGAAATCTAATTTAAGTGGGGGAGAGTTGTAACAGCCGTTTATTTATTAGTTAAATAAATAAATTAATGAACGAATGGCAACCTAAAATAAATAATTATATATGCAGGGTGTTGGGTTCGAGGAGTTAATTGCAACATTTTTAGAAGTCGGGGGTTAAAAGTGTGAGTTTGGGACTCATTTTATAAATATTTATGAAGACAGGGGCTCCGTGCTAATTATCGAGAATTATTTTAAAAACAAATGAGGTGGAGGCGCTGAATATGTTATAATTAAGACATTGGGGGATTTTTTGGTAAATTATGTACCTAAGTTGTAAGGGATTTTAATAGTTAGGGTTCAAAAGGTAATTATTGGATTTATTTTGAAAAGAAATCGGATGGGAGGGACCTATCCCGCCATTATGAAAATATGTATGTGTGTGTCATATATATATATATATATATATATATATATATATATATATATATATATATATATATATATATATATATATATATATGCGCTATGATACCCTAGACCTAACTCATAGTGCAGCTGCCACTTTTCCTCCACCTTTATTCCATCCTCGCCGGCGCCGCAACCGCTCTCACCCTTCTTCGACTTATAGCGTCGCACCACCACCTCTGTTGAGGTCTTCAACCACCGGACGCCACCACGCTGCTTCTGCCGTTGATGTAGAAGAAGAGCCGTCAACCTTATGTCTCCCCACCGCCACCATCCTTTCTCCACCCCATGCTCACAGTGCCGCAACTACGACCACCGTTGCCACCGGTGAAGAACGTGAAGCGATGGAAGGGACGCTGAGGACATCGGGAGAAGCCGGAAAGAGCTGGAACGTGCCTGTGACGTCGCGAAAGCTTCCTCTTCTCCGGTTCGTTGCTGCAACGCCGCCTTAAACCACCGTTGTGGCCGCTGCCGCCGCTCGTGAGTACTCTACCGCTGCCGTACGCCGCTAGATCGATGGATGGAGTGCACCTCGCGAATCAGAAGCATGTATGTGTGTGTAACTTGGCCGGAAAATGAAGGAAAGGCCCCCACCACCACCGTGAGGTGGTGGCTGCCGCCATGCACCACCGTCGGCCACCATAAGGTGGTTGTGTGTGTATTTATCTTTTTTTGTGCGTTTAATTAGTATAGTGTGTGTGTGCGTTTATTTTGGTATTTCCATTGTAATTGTAAAAAAAATGGAATAATGAGAAAGAAACTCGAAACCACCACCGTGAGGTGGTGGCTGCCGCCTCTTGCCGCCGTGTCGGGTGGCGGTGTGCTTGTCTCGTCGAGTTCGATTCGTTTAGGGTGCTTGAAACCCTAATGGGCCTTGTAAGCTCTAATGGACCCTAATTGACCCAAATAAAACCCTGATGGAGTTAACGATATTCTAGTGGGCCTAACTGGCCCAATAAAGCCCTAATTGACATAAAGGCCCAACAAGTTGATAAATGGGCTAATATTTGGATTGGAAACCCTAATTAGGATTTGGAAAACCCTAATGCCAATAAAACCCTAATTTTATGAAATAATCGGGACACACACACGGGAATTATTTAATAACTTGAGATATTAAATAATAATCAATGGGAAAGATTAATCTAAGCAATATTGGACTTAATGGATTAAGTCCTTAGAGGATTAAGTCCTTAATGGATTTAGTGAGAAACACTTAACCCTAATCGTCATTTTATGTGAAACCCTAATTTCACTTGGGTTTATTGTTGGGCCTTTCTATTGGGCCTTGATGATTGGGTTATTAATGGGCCATCCAAGATCAAGCAAATGGACTAGAATAGTTAATGGGCTTTGTGGTAAGGCCCATATGAGGAGTTGGGCCCAATTTGGAAAATTGGGCCATATATGGGCCATAGTTTGGGCCCTAATGATTATATGAGGTTTGGGCCCAATTTGGAAAATTGGGCCAAATGTTGGGCTTTGAGCCATAGTTGGACTTTTGGGCCTTGGATTGGGCCTTGCGCTTGCATAAAGCCAACCTTGGAGTAATGTAGTAATTATCCAAAGTATGTACTCATGGTTATGTAGTGGAACCCAATTATTAATTGGGTGTTATTTTGGTGTTGACAGTTCGTGAATCTGTCAGCCAGCAGCTGGGGTTGAGTTTGCGGGACTTCAGCAGTGTGGGATTGTGTCTACGGAACTTTAGCAGTGTGAGGTGAGTTACCTTCCAGTGGGGTGGGTCTACGGCCGCAATGCCGGCCCACCAGTAGGTGTTGTATGTTAGATGATTGTCTTTGTGATATTCATCTAGGTTTGCTACTACCTAATATGTTATATGCTGGCATGATATGTTATATGTGATAGTGTTAGTAAGAGGGAGAATAGTCCCCAAGTTCGGTTGTTAGGACCGAAGGGTAGGTCGGGCACCCCAGATATGCCTGACAGTATGTTATGATATGTTTATATGCTGGCATGATATGTTATATGTGATAGTGGTATTAGGAGGGGAATAGTCCCCAAGTTCGGTTGTTAGGACCGAAGGGTAGTTCGGACACCCCAGATATGTCTGATAGTATGTTTATGTTATGATAATATGTGATAGTAGTAGTAGGGGGTGGAATAGTCCCCGAGTTCGGTTGTTAGGACCGATGGTAGGTCAGCACCCCAGAACGGCTTTGACACGGGTAGGTCAGCACCCCAGAATGGCTTGACACGGGTAGGTCAGCACCCCAGAATGGCTTGACACGGGTAGGTCAACAGCCCAGAAAGGCTTGACATGGGTTTGTCAGCACCCCGGAATGGCTTGACATGAGTAGGTCGGCACCCTAGAATGGTCGGACCGGGTAGGCCGGCACCCCAGAATTGCCTGGCAGTATGTATGCTATGTGATTGAATGGTATGTGGTATGATGGGCGAACTCACTAATCTTCGTGCTTACGGTTTACAGTTTTGGTTCAGGTACTCGTTTTCAGAGGAAAGGAGCCGGCTGGATCGCAGCGCATGACACTATGTTTTCCGCACATGAGATCTTTGGGATTAAACTCTGATATTGTTTTATGATAAAATCCTTTGATTATTGACACTTTGGTTTTGACTTGAGATATGAATATGAATATTTTATTACTGATGGTTCTATATTATAACTTAATCAAAACGAAATTTTTGGCCTTGAATTTTGGGATGTTACACACAAACCAATGCTTTAATCATTTATCGAACATTATCACCATCCAATAAGGTCTAAACCCCATTCCCTTGAAGCTCAAGGCCTTTACTTGGTCCATTTATTGTCCATAATCTCGGAATAAGAAACTTCTCGAAACAGGATGTTACACTTTGGCGCCATATTATTCCTTTCAGGCTATTGGTGAATTCTTTTATGTGTGATAAAAGGGATGCACATTTGACCCGGTAGACATGACCAGACCGAAAACAAATCAGAACCGGAACCGAGGTATTTGGTCTGGTTCCTGGTTCTCCATTTGTTATTGAATATGTTCTTGGATCTTCGTTCTCGGTCAGGTTTGGGCCGCATCCAAATCGAACACATCTCTAAGAGAACACTTACTTGTGGAATCTAATCGGACTGATGCTTATCCCTACCTAGTTGTTCCTTTTGGCAGATTATTTATTGGTAGTTGGGCAACTGTGTAATTTATTAGGTGATGAATAGTTTCTTTTTAGGTGTTATTTATGTTGGGTTTTATTTAAAAACTAGTTTCAAAAACTACAAATAATGGCTAACGGAAGACTTGAGTTTTATAAATAAACATCAACATTTTATTACCCACCAAGGATCATCTTGCAAGTAGTAAAAAGATTTAAAGCACAACCATAGAAAGAGAAAGAAGCAACAACCTTTGAAGAACTTTGGGTCCTCTAGGGGAGGCTTGGAAGTTGATGGAGATAGGATGAACCCTTGAGACACCAACAATGTTCCAACTTGATTAGAATGCTAGTTCTTTGACAACTCTTAAGCTTAGAACAAAATTCACAAGTATATGTTCCAAGAGAGTAAAAACTGAAGGGTTTTAGGCATAAGAACAATCCTATGTGCTCATACAAACCCTAATGCTTAGATCTAGGTTTCTCTATTGTACATGCAATGTATCGAAGACTTACAAAC